GCCACCGCAGCCTCGACCTGCTGGGCTCCGGTGATCCTTCTGCCTCAGCCTTCCAAGTAATTAACACAGAGACGAGGTCTTGCTCTGCTGCCCAGGCTGGGCTCCAGCCTCGGCCTCCGAGATGCAGGGGCGACAGGCTGTGCCTCCTGCCGCCCCCGCTCCCCTTCTAGCCCAGGACTCGGCCACCCCGGGGAGGGTCCCCAGGGCTCCGGGGAGGGCCGGCCTCGGCGCCCCAGCCCCTCCCGCCCTCCTGCCTCCTGCAGGTACTTCTTCAACTGTGACTGCCTCATCCCCCTCAAGAGGAAGAGGAAGTACTTCAAGGTGTTCGAGGTCACCAAGACCACGGAGAGCTTCGCCAGCAAGGTGCAGAGCCTGGTGCCTGTCAAGTACGAGGTCATCGTGACGACGGGCTATGAGCCGGGGGCGGGCACCGACGCCAACGTCTTTGTGACCATCTTCGGAGCCAATGGGGACACGGGCCGGCGGGAGCTGAAGCAGCGTCTGCGCAACCTCTTCGAGCGGGGCAGCACGGACCGCTTCTTCCTGGAGACGCTGGAGCTGGGCGAGCTGCGCAAGGTGCGCCTGGAGCACGACGGCCGTGGCCCGGGCGCCGGCTGGCTGGTGGAGCGCGTGGAGGTCACCCACACCAGTACCGGCGTGGCCACCCACTTCCACTGTGGCCGGTGGCTGGACAGCAAGCGCGGCGATGGGCTCACCTGGAGAGACCTTTTCCCTTCTGTCTGAGGGGCCAGGCCAGCCACCCTCTCGCTGGGACACCGGGAGCGCGAGGCCACCTGGCCCCTGGTCCTTGGGAAGCCGCTCTCTGCTGTGGCCATGGTGGGATCTGCCCCCCCCCGCCTCACTCTGGTCTCTGGAGGTTGCAGGAGTCACAGTCGGCTCGTGTCACCCTCTGGGGCTGCCCCAAAGTCACTTCTCGAGATTCCTTTTCCTGCAGTGGCCGCGGTGACCCAGCTGGGTCTCACCACAGAGTGTGGGGGAGACTGGAGATCAGCTGGGCGACAGGTGTGTGGAAGGGGAGCCCTTGAGATGGTGCCTTTTAAGCGCTTCCCCCCCAAAGCTGGGCTAATTTAACCATGACCAACCTCGCTCTGCGAGAATTCATCTTGGCTCATCTTGGCATCGCCGACGAGAAACGCAGACTTTCCAGGTTCAGCAAAGCCAGTGACCAGTGGGGAAGATGCCGTGAAGTCGGGCAGCTTCTTCTGTGACTTCACAGGAGGGCGTCGGCGAGGGCTCTGCTCCCTGCCTGCGACAACACAGAGGGCCGGTGCCGGGCGGTGATGGGGACTGCACTGGCAACATCCTGGCCGTGGCAGCTCTGAGGCTGGGAGGGCAGGGAGTATCTGGGCTACCTGGTGAGGGTCACCTGTGCCTCTTGTGGATGGTGCTGGTGCTGAGGACTGTGGCTTGCTGGCGGGTGACAGAGGGCCCTGTGAGCGCCTGCACACCAGTACACAAGCACGCACACGCCCTCCCGGACATGGTGACCGCCGGAGGAGCCAGGCAGCCTTGGCAGAGCCCCGTGCCCCACTTCCGCCCTCCGGGGCCTCGGTGTCCTTGTCTGTAAGGCAGCAGGGATGATGCAGACACCTGCCCTGTGGGTCATGACACTCCAGGAGATCACACGGGGTCTGCTCCGTGCCTGCACTCACGGGAGCACATCCGCCAGGCCAACCGCGCGGGAGGGGGGTCAGGCGGGCCAGCCGTCCGAGGCTTGCTTCTGCCTCATTCTGTGGGGCTGCTGCTTCCCCGTCTCCAGGTGAGCATGGGACGTGCCTCGGTGCAGCCAGGCTCCAGCGGGTATGAAGAGTCCATCAGATACTTTCAGCCACAAAGTCCATCTCCACCCTGTCGCTAAACGCTCAACTGCATCCAAGCAGCTGTGGAAAATTGAGCCTCCCCTCCCCCCTCCGTCCTACACAGGCAGGCTCTGCAGGGAGGGGGTGCCAGGCTGTGTGCACGTGTGGTGTGCATGAGCGTGTTTCTGCGGTGCACTTGTGTGTGCTTCTGCGGTGCACTTGTGTGTGCATGTGTGCTGCGTGTATACTTGGGGTATGCAGGTGTGGTGTGTGTGTGTATGAGACAGCACATGCACACAGTGTGTGGTGTGTATGCACATGTGAGCACGTGGGCATGTGGCATGCACTGTGGTGTGTGCATGTGTGTGAGAGCATGCATGTGCACATGGGTTTGTGTGAGCATTTGCGGTATGTATACACATGGTGTATGTGAGCAAGAGTGAATGTGGTGGGTGTGCATGTGTCTGTATGAGAACGCACATGTGCTCACAGGTGTGTGTGTAGGAGCGTGTGATGTGTATGGGTGTGTGTGTGATATGTATGTGTGGACAAGAGCTAGCAGGCACACACGGGTGTGTGTGAGTGTGCATGGTGTGTATGGATATATGTGAGCATGTGTGTATATGACAGCATGTGTGCACACTACGTGAGCTGGCCTTGCATCCCCATTGCCTTGCCTTGCCCACCCCTCCTGCCACCCTCTGTGCGGCTTTCCAGCTCTCCAGGAAGGAGGGGAAGGGGCCGGCAGCCTCCCATGGGCGCCTTCGAGGCTGACTTATGCCGCGTGTTTCTGGGCGGGCAGGTGTGAGGCTCTCCCTCGTGCGGGTCACCCTCACACTGTGCTCTTGCTGGATCCACGTCCCCCCATACGCAGTGCTCTGACACGCTCTGGCCGGCACCTCTCTCGCCACAGTCTCTCCAGAGGGGACAGGCCTTAGTTCTCGGCCATGATGCTCAAAGCAACCTGTGGACGCTGCAGGCATGGGCCTTCAGTTAAAGACAGCCCAGAGCAAGAGGGTCTCCCAGACCCACGGTACTGCCCTCCAAACATTCTGCCCGCCCGCGCATCCTCCGTTTTCAACCTGCCTGTCCTCTGCTGTAACCCAGAGTCCAAGCCGACGGTTAGCACATCCTTCTGGCATTCACTGTGGGACGAGGCATTGCTGTCTTTTTGATTCGCCCACAGGAGGTCCAGGAAGAGTCTGTGGTCACCCTTCTGCTGGTGGCCTGCAGATGTCAGGGGCAGGCCTCGGTCAGCACCACACCCAGGGCCTCCGTCTACTCCTCCTCCCTGCCCACCCCACCCACTCAGTGTGAGGTGTTAGGGTCTGATGAGTGGTTGTGTGGGAGCTCCGTGCACACCTGCCAATACCTGTGGTCCTGCAGGCGTGCTTCCCTACTCTCGGGGCGCCTCCCACCCTGCTCCACCCGGCTCCCCAAGTCCCTGGGTCCTGGCTGCCTCCGTGCGGGCCAGTTGCCCACAGCTCCGCACCCAGCCCAGTGCCCTCCAGCCACGCCGCACGCATCCTCCTCTTTGTCGGGCCACTGCTAGGCCATCCTTGCTGGGAGTCTCCTTGCCACCCACGCCCCCCATGACCCCCACACCCCTGGCACGGTGCGTCACATTCTCTCTGTGATGCGCAATGACCGCACAGACTTATGGGTCCATGTGACATCTTGATACACACAACACACCGTGATCAGATCAAGGTTCTTGGCGTGGCATCACCCCAGTGACCATTTCTTTGTGTGGAAAACATCCCAAGTCTTCTCTTCCAGCGAGTTTGAACGAGACAGCGGGTTACTGTCAACTGCAGTTGCCCTCCCTCCCACCATGCTGCTGCCCACACCGCAGTCATGCTACAGGCTGTCGAAGACTAGACCTGACTTCTATCTAACTATATGCTTGTGCCCCTCCCCCAGTCACTCTTTGTCCATCCCATCCCAGCCTCCATAACTGGATGAGTGGATGGATAAATGGATGGATGGAGAAGGGTAGATCCATGGGTGAATGGGTGAGTGGAGGCATGAATGAGTGAATGAATGGATGGATGCATGGTGGCGGGGTGGGTACATGGAGATGTGTGGATCGTCTGTTTCATGGTTTGCGATCCCTTCTGTGATGGACTCATCCAAGTTCAAGGACTCAGAAGCCCAGCCTCAGCCTGACCGGTCAGAACATTCAGGAGCAAACTCGTCTTGGCCCCTCCACCATTGCCCAAGAGCCCCTTCCCAGCCAGTGGGTTGTTCCTCTGAAGGCCTGTTGCCGGAGCTCCTGGCAGTCCAGCTCTCATTTTCGCGGGATGCCCAAGTTCATGAACCCCAGATTTCAGACCCTCCTTGAGGCATGCACGTGACACACTGGAGTGCCCTGCACTTACCCCCGAGGTGGGTGCACGAGAAGACTGTTCGGGGACCTGTGCCTCAGGGACTTCTATCCATTGTTGGAAAGGGCAACGCCAGGACTCCTGGCTCAGCCTAGGGCCATTCACTAGTGGGCACTCCTGGTCATTCATTCATTCCGTAAATATCTGTTGAGCAGCTACTGTGTGTCAGGCAATGCTGGGGACCCATGGCAAGCAGAAGAGATAAAACCCTGGCCTCGTGGGGCTTACGTTCTAACTGGGAGAGTGGACGTCCACAAGTACATGCACTTGGTGGCGTGTCTGGTGTAAGTAGTAGGGAAGAGGGATGGGGATGGGGATGGGGCTGCAGCTTTAAATCAGGTGGTGGTGAGTTGGCTCTGAGTAAAGGAATCTCTAGAGGAGAGGCGTGAAGCCGTGCAGACACGGAAGGGGATCTCACTCCGGGCAAAGGGAACAGCAAGCCTAATCCAGAACGCTGGAGGAGATTCAGGAGGCCAGAAGCAGCAGGAGCTCCACCAAGCCAGTAGGAGGCCAGGTCAGAGTGGTGACGGGACCCCGCAGGCACTTGAAGGTCTCTGGCGTGTGTTCTGAAAGGGACGCAAAGCTATCGGAGGGCAGGGCGTGTGTGGGGAGTGATGCCCTGTGGCTGACACTGTAACCAGATCACCCAGGCTGTGTGACATTGAGGACGGGCTCCAAGGCCAATGTGGGAAACCTGCTGGGAGGCTACTGCAGTCGTCTGAACAAAAGAGGAGAGCGGCTTGGACCAAGAGATTTGCAGTGAAAGAGCGGTCAGTCCTTCCTGTCCACAGTTGCTAAGCCTGTGGATACAGAGGGCTCGCCAGGGGACAGGAGCACCCATGGCTTCTGGCCTCCTCAGGGGTCCTGGGACCAACCTCCCGTGAATGTGGGTGGAAGCCTGCAGTTCAGAGTTGTCTGATCCTGGGTCTGTGTTGAAGTCAGAGTCACGGGATTTGCCAGTGGATTAAACGTGAGACGTGAGACCAAGAAAGGACTCAGCAGTGACTAAAAACTTTTATCTGCGCACCCAGAAGAACGGGGCTGCCGTTTCTTGAGATGGCAAAGACCGTGGGAGAAATGGAGGCTGTTGCCATTCCTGACTGCTTGATTTATTTTGTGCGTCGAGGGCAGAGTGGGTGTTTGCAGTGAGCTGCCCCTAGACGTCAGGGTGGAGCTGTGGGGAGGGGGAGTCTGATGACATTAAGAGAGACGGAGCTCCTCTGATGCCATCTTCTGAAGAGGGGGCTCTCTGAGTCCTCTCCCCCTGGCATCCCTGCACATTCGGGAATAACGTCAAGGGCTGAGGACTAGGACTCAAGACCTGGGTAAGGTCAAGGGTCCCGGCTTCCAGCCCCACCCTCACATCCTAGCTGTGTGACCTTGGGCAGGTCACAGAACGTCCTGCGCCTCCCTCTCCGGACGACTGGAGAGGCAAGCCTGACGTTGCAGGTTGTTCCAGGGTGGACGAGGCTGTTCGGGCACAGGCTCGTGCAGAGTCCGACACCCAGGAGGGCTTCAGACGTGCGGTCTTATCCTCTGTTTCAACGCGACCACTCAGGTTTGTGACTCTAGTGACGAGATGCTCTCCCAGCTCCCCCCTAGCTCTGTCTCACTGTGACTCCCACAAGGATGAGATACTGACGCCGGAACTTTCTCCCGCCGTCTTTGGGAGCACGCCAACACCCTGCTGGCCATTGCCAAGACAATTCCAGGCTCCGAAGTCATCCACGAAACTGCCCAGGCCCAATGATCCAGGCTCAGGCTGGCCCAGCCCTGCCCTGCGCCCTGCTCCTCTTCCCTGCTCTTCCCAGTCAGGCCCCCAGGGCCCCTCCTCAGCACCCCTCGACCTTGCCTCTTCTGATGGCCCCAGCCTGTCCCAAGCTCTGGCCCTTGCCCGGGCAGCCTGGCCTTGGCAGAAGGCTCCCAGGAGGCTCCCCTGGTCCAGGAGGCCGACTCTCGCCCGTACCTGGTGAGGCCAAAGGCGCTCTTCCTCTCTCCTCTTCTGTGAATGCCTCAGGGCCTACAGGACAGCATGACAGTGCCCTCCTTCCCTCCTCCCAGCCATAGACACAGGCAGAGGAACATTCCCGCCCAGGCTGGGCACCGGGCTTGGATCCGGACGAGGCTGGCAGGGCATAGGGGCACTGAGGGTGGTCCTCCAGCCCCCGGTCACTCACGGGAGGCGTCAGCCCTGGCGAGTGGGTACGTGGATCCCAGTGCCCCCCTCCTGCAGCACAGTCCCCACTCTGCCTTGGAAGCCACGTCCGCAGTCCACCCAGAGGTGCAACATGGGAAAAGGGGCGGATGGAGAGGAGGAGGAGGAGGGGAGGAGGAGGAAGGGAGAAGGGGTTGACG